TCATTTCTTGTCGAGTTTTTGAAGAAAAATATGGACAGAAGTTCTCGTTTCGACAGACAAAAGTTTATATTTTGCGCCAGTGAAGATGTGTTTGGAATATTGTCATCAGTGCTCTTTGCGAGCCTTTGCATTAAACTGTTTATTGTGTCAGAGGGGGGAAGCAAGGTCATCGTTCAAGAAAAGTTGCCCGAGTAATACGCCCGTAATGATGAAGATAAACTCAAGCTTTCGACACATTGCTTTACCTTTAATTAACTGATCCCATTCCTGACACCACTTCTGAATTCTTGGTTTCAAGATCAATAATGAAGCCAAATGAAACAAATTTTCATAATTTATTTCAGCACAATGCACCGTGTACAACATCAAACAAAGAATCTGGAACTCGTTGCTATACTGCGAAAACAGTAGACAACATATAAACATGAAAACAGCGTAAATTTGAATATGTTTCGATCAACGAGCTAAAATTTCCCATATCGAGTGGCTGAAGTGCCTCCATCTTTGAAGTAAATTGAATCTATGTTTTTCGCAATCAAGACAGCGCCCTATGGAAAACAAAGTAATCTAGCATTACGTTTTAGTGGTGGTTACGGACGGTTACTCCCTGATTACACCGCCTCTCGTACGTCTTGACTTCAAAAATCCTGACAGTCATTAGTTCGGCGAGTCTCCACCAAGAACGCTGAAACTATGGGGACAGCCTCTCTATGTGGTATTTTCCAGCTCGTTGGTTTCGATACACTACAGAAACAAACAGTGTATTACAAATGTAAATATTGAAATTTAATGATTGTCTATTAAAATAATAACCTGACGTTACTAGTTTATTTACGTGAAAATAAAAGACAAGTCATTAGTAATCTGGTACGGATTACGAGTAAAAGATTGTTGGACGGAATGACAAACGACAAAATGAGTTACGGTTGTGTGAACACCACAACTCCAAACCTCCTACCGATATTGAAAGGACTCGTTGAATTTGTTATTACCTCAATTTCATGAAAAAAGAATAATAGAGTTTTATTTTCATGAATGGAAAGCATTCATGCATACATAAAATCATTAGAATACTCATCTTCTCTATTAATGAATATGCTCGACGTCGCTTGATATAGTTGGATTTCTTTCAGACTTAATTCAGTGGATAAATACCTATCCAGTGTAGAGTAACTAGAAAGTGGTTGAAACCATCGCGAAAAAGACATTTTAAATTTGGTTCAGAAACTCATTCAAGAAAACAGAATCTTACAACTTTTTTTCTACTCGTACATAATAATTGTAGTTTTTACACAAATTTATAATGTCCACGCATTGAATGTATTTCTACTTGCATCCTAAAACAATACTATCTATGATCAACATCTTTCTCAAAAAATCGCTTTTATCTCGTATTTTTCTCGTGTCACGTTATGATCAAAACCTCCGTTCTATCTTCACCTGATAAGACAAGATGATTACACGTTATTGTGACATTCAAATCCCTGTGTTGGTATCCCAAAAATAAACGCTTAATTTCTTGATTGAAATTAATTAATATAATTACAATGTTCACTTAGTGCAACTTACCAAAAATGTGGAAGTACATATTTAAATTTCTATGTTTTTGGTAAAAATAATTAAATTTGGAAATAGATGGTGAAAATGTCTTGTTGACAATGTAGAAAGACTCACAAGACATGTACGATAAATTTTTCTCTGAATCTTATCATTCTGTAATGTGTTACAGTTTAAGAAAACAAACTAAAGCTATTAGTACTTAACGAAGCATTACCACACTCACGAATGGTTTGAATTAAAAAGTAGTTCTCTTGCAAATGATTATCTCGTGAGGGAAAAATCTGAACATGGGAAGGGGCCTTTCTCTAGTTTCGAGATAAATCAAAGACGACAGTTTTGTAATTGGAGAGAATTGCCATGCACTATTAAATGTTAAAATATGTAAGCAAACATCTACTGCGATGAGTCAAACGTTCACGAGGCATGTTAAAAATTGACGAAATATGAGTCGAATTTTAGTTTAGTGTATTTTTTGTTTTCTGGGTTTGTAACGAGAACAATTAACAAGTTTCTACATTTTACTCTATCAAAGTCATTTTTTTCAGAAACAAATGCTTTTGAATCAAAATATATACGTTCCACTTCACAAGCAGTAATCGAAGCATATCTCAATGATGAAACGGAGCCAATCTGAGTATTATGAAGCATTTTTTTATTATTCACCACAAATACTTTTTTATATTTTGGTAATTTCCAATCAGGATTTGATTTTAACAGTTTTATAATTTACTCCTTAGCAGTCACACTCACATCTCCAAAACTAATTTCCAAGATTTTAAGGTCTTCTACAATTTTTAATGACTCTGTTAGAGGTAAACCAGTTTTAATTTTCGAATTACAATAGGCAATTTTTCAAAATGTGAACTATTTTTTTACGATATGGGCATCTAGGAAGGTATTTTATTTTCACTTTTTCGAATACGGTACGTATATACGAAAGTAATATACGTAGAGTCAAATAGAGAGAGTTATGTAATGCTGCGGAAATCGAATTCGAGATTTCAACCGAAATAGACTTTTTGAGGTCTCCGGATATTATGGTTTTTTTTTTTTTCAAAACACCCGTTCGTCTGTTCAAACGCTCAAATGCTATTTTCTCAAAAACGGCTCTAAAGTTTTCTTCAAACGTTTTGTATGCATAGTGTTAAATGTAGTGTTCGAGTACAAGATGACATAAAAGCGAAATGAACAGTCATATGAACAGTACAGATAAATATTAGTTTCGCATGGAACATTAAGGTGTTATATTGTTATTATGTGAGTGCGTGTAATTGTGATTCGTCGCGCCTTCAAAGTAATTTATGACAACTGGTTTTTAAAATGTGAGAAGCAGCGCCGCATTACTCATGTGTTCGTCATGCTGCAGTTAATGTGTTGTAGATATCCGTTAACATCTGGCCTGTGAGTGCCTTCGTTGGTACAAAGAATTTATGAACAATGAACTGGAACTATCAACAAAATTATTACAACTTTTCGGCTACCCCATCTTAATGACAACTTTTAATTACTATTTTTATCGATATGTGTTTCTGTCAAGAAAAAAGACGAAGTCGTAGGCTTCCGCGGCCAGAGTCATGTGGGTGATCTGGGCTGTCCGGGTGACGCCGCGTCGAAGGCTGAGTTGCTGACGTTTCGACCATACCAGCCCTTAAGAAGACCACGACAGGATGGACAGCCCAGACCACCCACAAGAAAAAAGACCTTACATTTCCGTTAATCAACTTCACGTAATTCTCCATCAGCATTGTAACTTACGAGTTTGCCTTGAAATAATATTATTTAATGAATATTTAGTTCATACTGTCAATTCTTAATTTATTAAATTCTATGGAAGAGATGTCTCATGTGGGAGACAATGTTGTCATGCATTATATTACATGTGTGTAAAACCCTTAGTGCAAAGAAAAGTAAAGAAGGCCTTTCACGGATGGAACTAATTATTAAAAAAGTAAAAAAAGTTTCTTGTTCTCTTTTTGTTGAATTTTTCTACTTCATTTAAACAAATAAAGAAATAAAATTTTGTTTATTCAACACAGAAGCTACTGATATTTAGTTTTAGTTATAGAATTTTTTATTTTACGATTTTAACCCATTTTCACAATTTGTCCAATGTTTTCCGTATGGAGCATTTCCAACCACAAAGCAATGCCCTGAAAGTTAGTAAATGGTATTATTCTAGTGATGTATTGATGAACAAAAACACGGGACTATTAATTGATATATTTTGGTATGTCATAATGTATATAAATCACCTCAACCAATTGCCTAACAGTTCTTCAGGATGTCTTGCTTCACAAATAACAGTTATACTGCTATTATTCATATCTTAAGAATGTTTACAGCTAGAGATTTATACCATCTCAGTCCACTGCCTGACAATAACCCCACCGCCATGCCATACGCGTGTTGCAAACCCACAATGTCCTCATGCTTGAGCCATCTGAAGTTTTTTCAACGCAATTCGTATCGGAATCTCATGCCTGCCCCAAGCCCCCGTCCAAGATGCCGGCTGATTTGATCTTAGTAGTACATGTAATCGCAATACGGTTACGTACAATAGCTGCCTGTAGCAGCAAAAATGCTGCTGAATAAAACCACACAAAATGTTGCCCGCACAGTTGTCGAGAACAATAAATAAAATACTCTGGTGTAACACTCTAATAAATTAAATATTAAAAAAAAACAGCCTACATGAATACTGAAATAACACAGTATAGTGGAATACGAATAAGCAGAACCATCTGAAGTTCTTTTCAACCGAAGAACGTTAAACTAGTAGTTAGCTTCAACAGCACTTATTTTATTGTAATATTAGTCAGGATTATGAAATATTTTGTGTCTTAAACATACTTGAGCTATCTCTTAAAAAACTCGTAGACGACGATGTTGGGTTTCAAATTTGCATGGGTTTGCCAATCAAAACATCAATCAGAATCATCAGGTCAATCATCTGTGAGTTCGTCAATCAGATCATCTATTAAGTTATGAAAACAAAAAAAGTAATTTTGTGTACTCTAAAAACTATCAGTAAAGTTTTTTCAACGCAATTCGTATCGGAGTCTAGTTATCTGCGATCTAAGACAAACATCCCTGAAACCGAGTACGAAGTGGTATGACACTACACCAACATTCTTTCAGTATAAATCTTTTGTCTAGATAACGGAAGGCAAGAAAATACTACATAAGGAAGCTGATCTCACGAAATTCCAAATAGACCCAAACATACGACACAATTACGAGATTCTAAATACCTCCCACTTCATTCAAACCACGAGGTTCGGTAATCCAAAACGAAAATTATTGTTCCCACCCAACTAGATCCTTAACACCTAGTACAGAAAAACACCTGAACTTTCTCCAGCGCGAACAGTCCTTCAACGTAATAGAATGGCGATAAGATAACGCGAGACGCGCGAGGCAGTTGGAGTACATGGCGATAGGCGGACTGCGGAGGACGCATCGAGCCGCGCTCTTCACCATGGGGATTGGGCGCGCTGGTTCCGCTGCCATGGGGTGGGGGCGGGGGCCGCCGCTGGTGCTGCTGGTGGCGCTGGTGCTGGCCCTGGGGGGTGGGCGCCGGGCGCGCGGGGCGGCCCCGCGGCCCGCGCCGCCGCCGCCCCCGGCAGCCCCGAAGCGGCGGTCGCCTCCCCCGCCGCCAGGGAGCCTCGCTGCCGGCCACCATCAGACCCTCCGACTACACCGTCACGCTGCGCCCGGACTTCCAGCAGCCTCTCGACGCCACCTCCGACTTCGCGGGAGAGGTCGTCCTCAACTTCAAGCTGTCGGAGACAACGAGCGAGCTGCTGCTGCACGCGGGCGATGGCATAGAAATCCAATCCGTCAAAATCAGTAGGGGCAACACCGTATATCCAGTGGAATCCTCCGCCAAGGACTCGGGGACGGACATATATAGAATCACAATGTCAAGTCCACTTGTGCAGGGAACAATCTCGTATACATACACGGCGACAATTGCATTCAAAGGAAAATTTCAGGAACAAAATAATGGTTTCTATAAGAGCAAATACGTCAAGGAAAATGGAGAAACGGGGTAAGTTATATTTTTAATGGAATTGCATTAGATGTTCTTTGTATTTATAAATGACGATACTTAGAGTTATTTGTTGCAAGCATATCCATAACATAAATCGTTTGAAATTAATATTAAATAATTCAGTTAGTATTTAAACAACGAATCATGGGTTAAAATATTAAACCTACCAGCTCTCTATGATAATACATTGCACTTCAGCTTTGAAAAGAGACACAATCAATCTTATCAATCAACCTTTACGGTGAACGAGTTCAAAGATTCATTTTAATGCGTACATTTCACGTTTTAATATACACAAGTAAACATTTCGTGTAAAATAAAAAGAAGAAAATTTGTACATATTTCTACTGTCTTCCGTTCGCATTCACGATACACAAAATGTAATACTGTTTCATAGAAATACAAAATACAATATAGACTATTTATTATTTCGTGGAGAACAAATCTTTAAAAGCAACGTTACTATATTTGGCGCAAATTTCGACAAAAACACATTTCAAATAAAATTCTTGAATTAAACTTAGTCGTCAAGAAATCTAATGGACAGCTATACATTAGTGAAGGAATAGAAAATATATAAATAAAATATTTCACCAGTAGAAAGTCAATCGTCAAAAGGTTTTCATATGAAGGTTCATTTTACTTACATTACGCTTCCTCACATTCCCGACAGAGTCAATATTTAAGATAAACACAACATAATTGGCTACTTCAAAAATTAGGTTTTTCAGATGATTCGTAATTTCGAATATAAAAAATCATTGCTTTCTTTTACAACATCTCAACAAATAAAACTGTGAACAGAATAGTAAGAAATAATTTCGAGAATTTCCATACGTTTACTGAGTGAATTGAAGATTTTGTTTCTTCATATTAGTTTCATTCAATAATAACTTTTCTTCTTTTACATACACATTTTTGTTTTAAAATGCGCTATTGAGGGTAAGTACCAGTTAGAGTTTTAGGCTGCGGTTATTGAAATATAAGGGTATTATTTACACATAAGTAAAGTAATTATGCTAACAATTATAGTAGTTACTAAATCAATATACATGTCATTTAGTTCTACAAAATTAAGTGTCTGGTGACTATCTGTCAAATTTCTGTGATATATCAAGAGATACGAGTATTTAATTTTTTCTTTTCTTTAATGTTGTGTGGAGATGTTTAGTAATTCCGAGGAGTTGATGTTATTTGGTCATATGGTTCAAAGAAACAAATTCCTCTTTTGAAACTGATTTTGTTTTTTCTAGATTTTTAAATATCTTCGGTATAAATTGATAAATCTATAAAATGATGGCACATTTCACTGTGAATAGAAAATTAGTTCTGAAGCATGAGTTGCAAGTATGCCATTGCGGTACGTACAAATGCCATTGGGGGTTCGGGTGATTTAGAACTGAACTATTAATGTTATTATAGCCTGTTTTTTTAATCTAGAGAGAGTTAATAATTTTTTTAATTAGACAATTGCACATCCTATTAAGGGCAAGGGCCTTCTGCTCGCACAGGGAGTTCTTAATCCTTCATTAATGAAGTGATAGGATGATAATGATGAAGGGTGCAGGAACGATATCAAATACACCCATATCCGAGGCGGGATTCGAACCCGCGATCCTTCAATCCGAGACCGCCGCGACACTTACAGATTTTGGCTATCCGGATCGACTAAGAGGTGTTAATGATTCTCTCTTTGGAGTTGGCGAAATCTATTATACAATGTGGAAGGTTTGGAAGGTTTATTGATTGCAGTATAGTGTTATGTTTCGAATGCAGTTTTGTTTGGTTGAGAGTAAAAGCTGATGCAAATTAATATACTTTGCATGAAGTCCAGTAGGCATATATTCTTCTTTCCTCTATCTTGTCAGGTGAAGGTAAATAATTTACCTTCAAGTGAGTTAATATATGGAATTGTTATTTTCTTTTTTAAATTTTAATTTAAATCTTTTTTTAAATCTTAATTAAATTTTAATTGAAATTGAGTTATTTTGTGTTTTATTAAGGATTGTATATTTTTTGAAATTGGAGATGTCCATGATTTTGTAATTTTTATGTAATTTATTTGTTAATATATTCAGTTCTGTTTTAATGTTTAGATTATTAGCTGGGATCCACAGTCTTTTGGTCTTGTTTGTTAAGCTGATTATATTTCTGGTTTCTTTGGTTGTTGCAGATATCTGATACTAGAGTGGGTTTTATTGTTTGTGGTTAGTGCTTCTGTTTTTGCTGTATGTAATATGAGGTTACTACAGAGGTTTAAATTTAACAGTGAATTATTTAAGATTTTTATTTTTCGTATTAAATTGATTATTGTTTTGGAATTTAATCCAGTTTAATTTAAGTGTATTTATTTTGGGGAATGAAGATAGAGGAAATTGAATTTATTGAGTAAAAATGTTTATTGGGAATTAACGGAATGACGTTCGCAGAAGAGTGTTGAGCAAAAATTAATATTTGTGTTTAACACTTCGATATCTAGGATGTCTATTTTTCAGTTACGTCTCTAGAATAGTAAGTTGGTTATGATAGGAATAATATTTTGATATTGATATGGTTTAAAGTTTGACAAGAATGTCATATTTTCCTGCTAGGTTGCATGCATGACATCCCCAGTTAGTGTGTTTGGCGTGTTATATTGTTATTGTTGGAAATATACATAAGCAATTATATTTGGTGGTTGATTGTTTATTATTAGATTTATTGCTACTATTTAATTATGCGTGTTATTTGGAATACCTGTTGAGTAATGTCTATTGATTATTCTATGATGAGCATTCTATTGATTATTGTTGTGTTTCTATGTTTAATTTGCATTCTTAATGAAGTTTTTATGGCGGTCGTAATTTATCCTTGGGATACCTTGAAATAATTTTGATGTCTTCTGCTGAGCGTCCTAGATTAAAGTCTTTAACACATTCCGATTTTGGTAATTCCTCGAAAATTCTAATGGTAAATCTTCTGATGTATTAAGTATTCAAGTTTTCTATTTTGTCTATTTGACAAGTACCGTGGTGCTGTAATTATACGATCCAGTGCCTTGAACCGGCTTCCTTTTCCTGTTGGATGCCTAACATCGCAAGCATCGCAAAGTTGAACCTTACTGTGAATCTTAAAAACATAATGTTTCGAATGGAAATATTCTCACAGATGCTTCGGTACTCCACGGCATAGGCCCTTCTATGAAGAAATGTGATATGTGTTGTGTAACACGTTTAGGCATGTTTAGCTGATTATGTTGCCCCTTGATGGATTTGCGATCAATACCCTTGATGAAAAGTATTCGATGCTCAGAAATAATATTTCATATTGGTCTTAAATATAGAACTTCAATACTTTGAAAAACTTGAATATAGATGTAAACTGGTTGGTCGGTATCGGGTACACCCGTAGTGACACCGTGTTTCGACTTTTACGAGCGCTGCATGATGTGAATGGAACAGTTATGATGGATGTCATTTAATTGAGTGCGCTGGGGACCTCTTTTGATTCTTCCTGAATCTACATAATCGTGTTAAAATAGCATCCTTTCAATTCTAATTTAATTTTAGGGGACAGAAAAATAATGTTTTGGAGCAAGGACAGATAAGTAGACAAGAGTAAGATGGTCGTTATGAATTTGAAAGTCAGAAAGTCGAACCAAAAGAGGCGTGTGAGCAAGCACGTTGTGATGGAGCAACTAATTTTTTCCCTCTTGTCTGGACAAAATTCTTTTAGCTGTATCTGTTGAATGTTCCACTACCTCACAACAATCTTGGACAGTTTGCCGAGTAGAAGAACTGGTTTAAGAATTTTGGTGATGTTTTCTGAGATAATGCATGTTGATTGTAGACCTAGACGATCATCATCAACTGATACTAGTCCATTATTGAAGGTTTTGCTTTGGCACAAGGGGTTATCTTCATAGACTTTCTGAATGAGGGGTATCTACAACATCAAAAGATTGATGTGAACAAATATTTAAAATTTGATGTCGATACTCTGCTAAGCGTAATTCCTTATACCGAAATCCACCTAGTCACCAAAACTAACTTCATGAAATCGCACAGATGACTAGCGACCACTCAGCTGAATAGTCGTTGGCACACTGATTCACGATGAATTTGCTTAAATACTGTATACTGCGCTGCACTACGTCTAGGTCCCAGACCTTAATCAAAATCCTCGAACATGTTGAAAGCACCTCGTATGTTGTAACAGTATCACATTGCATAATTGCGTCGATGGTGCATGATGTGGTTTTAAACACATTGATTCTTTATTATGTATCACATACAGTACGTTAATTTATATTACTACACACAAAATATTCTCGCTACCTTTCGTTTTCTACGACCGGATAAATGTTTGCTTTTCTATTTATTAAGTTTGATTATTGTATATCTTCTTTCTGCTTTTTCAGCGTATTGTTTACCACGCAATTCCAGCCAGGTCATGCAAGAAAGGCTTTCCCTTGTTTAGATGAGCCCAACTTCAAAGCAACTTTCCAACTGACTATCAGGGTTCCCAGTGGCTATGACGCTCTGAGTAACACTCCAGTGGATAAACGCACGTCCGTTACCGAGTAAGCTCATTTCTTTATTTCATTAATCGTTAATTATCCAATTACATCTAAAATGAAAAGTCGATGTACAGAGATATATTCAATATTTAAATTTACTTAGTCTATAGCATTTCTGATTGAAAGTAAATATTAAAATGTAATTTTTGTAAAAGCAAATGGCAACATAATTTTTTTCTGATGTAATGTTTCTGGTTCCTGAAAATATTTGACATAGAAGCAAGAGAACATAAATTACGAACATTGTGATCTAATAAAAAAAATACAAACATGTTTTGATAATTTTCAATATGTCATATAACACTGTATAACTATATCGGGTTAGGAAAATTATAGCACTTTTAATGATCGATGAAACAAACAATGGAATTGACAATAGAATTTACAACCGAACTAGAAGCAAATTTCAATGCAGATTAGATGAATTGTAGCAAATATATTTAAAAATCACAGAAATCTGATATTTCAATTTGAACTTTAAAAGATTAACTTTCAATTCGAATAGCAACCAAATCGATTAAAGGTCAAATGATTAAATTAAAATTTATTGCTTATTGACAAAATCAAATATAGTTAATAAAATAAAAGTTGACACAAATATTTTATCATTAGTCAAATTTCAAAACTCTGTCAAATATTTTGGTAATTGGTATTATTATGTTATTGCACAAACTATGGGTTTTATTTGCGGTGAGTTTAACAGTTTCTTCTTCAATTTCCTCATTTACTAACACGAAATATTTTTGTGGTGTTCCTAATACAGTGGTTCAGATGCTGAAACTCCGTTGGGGGAGGATATCACCTTCCAGAAAACTCCTACGATGTCATCTTACCTGATAGCTTTCGTGTTATACGAAACTGTTTCTTTCGTACCTTCTTATTCAGTTATTGCAAGGAACAACGTACCAATAATTACCTGGGCACCAAAGAGTGCCGTTGATGGCAAGTTAACTGACTATAGTCAAGAAATAACGTTCAAAATTCTTCGTGAACTGGAAGATTACTCAAATATACTATACTCAAAGTACATGAAAAAACTCGATCAGGTCGCAGTTGCGGACTTTTCTGCCGGAGCTATGGAAAACTGGGGCCTAGTTACATACCGAGAATCAAGACTTTTCTTCAACAAATCGTCAGACACGGAGGCTGCTCGCAAAAGTGTAGCAATGATAATCGGTCACGAATTGACTCACCAATGGTTCGGCAATTTGGTAACAACAAACTGGTGGGATACTACGTGGCTGAACGAGGGGTTTGCGCGATATTTCCAGTATTTGATTCTGTCTCGGATCCATCCGAGCTGGCGAATGATGGACCAACTTCTACTGGACCAGCAAATGGCGGTCTTCGTCAACGATGCTGTTGCAGGCGCTTTAACTCTTACACACGATGTAACAACCGCAGAAGAAATAAGTGCGAATTTTGGGACTATCACGTACAGTAAAGGTGGGTGAATGAAGCAAAATATATTTACTTTTCTAATATTTGTGTTGTACGAGTTATTGAAATTTTTCAAGTAATTGAAAAAAATAATCCCATCACTACTAAAAACGATTTATATTGTCGAAGTAATTAATGGAATATGATAAGATTATGATCTTGTCAATACGAACAGAAAATCTACTTGTTCGTTCTGTTCTTCACAGGCGCTTCCATTGTGCGGATGTTAGGATATCTGATGGGCGAGGAGAACTTTCAGAAAAGCCTCCAAAAATACTTAGGAAGGTACGTACGTGTTTTCTATTCCTTCAAAATTCATTAGATGATACTCGAGAGTGCGTGTTACGTATATGCAGAGTTTATGTTAAAGAACTAATATATTGAGGATAGTTTCAAATATCATTTAAATAAACATGTGAATAACCAAAATTATGTGAAATATTGTTTGTAAAATCGCTACAAGTAGAAAGTATTTAATATTCTTCAAGTTCATAATTTTTGAATTTGTTTGTTAAGAAATAGTGAATAGTTATTAAATTATTATTTTTAAATAATATTTATTTAATGACACAAATTATAGTTATTTATGATACGAGTGGTAAAGGTGGCATTTTATATTCCGAGAAGGAAATGTTCCGTATAAATCAAGTTACATTAAAGTACACAGTAACTTATGTAGTCAGTCGAAAGTATTTTGTTTTCTTTGTTGTATTTACAGCATTATCAGAACATTCGAGCACTGTCCCACGTTTAGCATTAGTGCTGAAAATTGAAATTGGAGCACGCTTTGCATTTAAGCAATCGCATTTAAGAGGGTCTATCTAAAAACATTTTAGAATATACTGTGTATGGCCTTTCATGAATTGTATATGATGTTAACTCCATTTTTTGGTCGCTAATAGTCATAAGATTTATGAGACAAAAATAAGACTTCATACAAATCTAAGTGATTTAACAAATATATTTAGCCTAAATGACAATTTCGACTATTTGCAACAAATATTTGCTTTTCTGATTGTTCTCCAAAATACGTTTACATTTGATCAAACTTTGCCTGTTTTTATCACATCTGATGATTTTCAAATAAGCAGTGTTGTCATGTAATGGCAGTGGAAAACAAAATTAGAAATAAGCAAAAACGACTTTGAAATTAGCAATTGACTAATTCCGTTAATTATTAACGGAACGAGTGGATAAAGAGGAAATAAAAAACGATCAATACCCTAAAATGAGACTAGCACCATATTTCTTAACGTTCTTTATTAGATACGTGGAGAAGATTTAAAGGAAACGCTTGGAGCGGTTTTTAGAATTTTTTTCGTAAGTTTCAAGCGCAAGTTACACAAAAACTACTTTTTTCCTTCAAAAAATTGAACATGACATTTTTCAATGAGATAATTTTATACAACAGATTTTGATTGAGACAAAAACATCAATCTTCAATTTTGTACTTTTAAAATTGTTTTTGTAGTTTTAGAAAAAACGACCAATATTCGTTAATGGGACTAGTACCATGTTTCTTATTACACATGTGGAGAAAATTTAAAGAAAAAATTAGAGAACGCTCTTTGAGAAGAAAAAAAATCGTAAATTTCAAGCGCAAATTACGCAAAAACTACTAACTTTTACAATAAAATGTACATGACCTTTTTAAAGACCTAATTTTGTACAAGACTTTGTCAGAGGCAAAATAATCCTTCAAGTTTGGAAATTTAAATTTAATTTTTTTTTGCACTTTTCAAAAATCGGGGAAGTCAGCAAAAGTAAGATCTGAACCATTCTCTTAAACATCCTTCGCACCATTCAACAACAAAATTTAATCAAAAAAGTTGGAGCCTTTTTTGAGAATAATTTAAAAGTGTGTTTGAGGTGTCATGTGAAGTACCCTCAAAAATAAAAATATCCGTTTGAAACTCTCAAATCCACGAGTTCATTCAGATCAACAGAGGAATATCAATTTTGAAGAAAATTGGCTGAACGGTTAGGTGTAGTGTTGACCACAGACGGACAGGCAAACAGACAGCAGACGGACGTTTTGCGGTCATGAGTTTTCGGTATGAAGAACCAACAGAATAGGAAGTCTGGCTACAAAACAAGTTAGAGGACTTTTTTCTAAATTTAGCAACAGGATTTATCTACTTCTTCGTTACCAGAACCCGGCAATAAGTTTTTTTTTGTGGCAAACTTTCGGCCTTTCCTGGTGCACATAACTTCTCTTCTTACGAAAACTTTGTAAATGCAAAAGAAAAAACATCTAAAGGCAAAACGAATCGATATCATAGCTTCATAAAAATCAGTAGTTTATTAGAGAATGCCGTTTGAATGCAATTATGGGATTCATTATTAGTATTCTTTTAAAATGATTTCGCGCCGTAGATGTGGAAATAGTTTGTCAAATTGTTTCATTGAAAAGGAAATGTCGAATTGACTGTAAGATATTTATATTTTTCATATCAGAGGGACAACTTCAGTGACGCCAGCAAACTTATTCACGGACTTGGAAGCAAATTTGCCCGATGGACGAAAACCCAATACTTCGTTGGAAAATGCAATGGATTCCTGGACTACAAAGTCTGGATTCCCAGTGGTGCATGTAGAACGGGATTACAAAGCACGAACTGCTGAAATTAGTCAGGTTTGTTCACTTTACGAAGGAAATGCAATTTTAAGATCTTTTGATAACTTTTTACCACATACTCGTATGTTTACGCTTTCAAACCGAGGTATTGAATCCTAATATAATTTTTTGAGCAACAGGGAGGACGATTTCTTGCTACTTTACTAATACGAGTATCTGTACTTCTCGATAATTCAATATCCTCACTAAAATGATATGAAATTGATATAATGATCCGTCAACTTTTAATTTTTAATAAACTAAAATAATTTAATTTCATTCTTCTTCAATCGTACAATCCTCAACTTAAGAATACCATATAGATAAAAATGATTAATTAAATTGGTCTTATTAGTCTAACCATATTGTGATATTTCTTCTATGAAAATAGTTATTTTAAAAACTTAAATTGTGTGCACAAAGCCAGAAATGTGCTAAAAACATTTTTAAAAAATCACAAAACTAGGGATCACGTTTTTAATGCGCATTTTTTATTTTGTAGTATCGTTTCTTTTCGGACGGCACGGTAGAAGATGCCGAAAGTGCAACCATCTACAACGTTCCGGTCACATGGTCGACCCGAGACAGTTCCAGACAGCGCTTCTTCTGGTTTTCCGCCAACACGACCCTGAGTAGTCTGCCCGAAATTGAAAACTGGGTGCTGGTGCACGCGTACGGTTACTACCGCGTCAACTACGACGAGGGCAACTGGCTGACGCTGGCGTGGTCGCTGGCGGGGAGCGAGCAGGCGCGGGTGGCCCCGGCCGACCGCGCCAAGCTTTTGGACGACGCCTTCGCGCTGGCCCGCATCGCCCGCCTGCCCTACCGAGTGCTCGGCTACCTGCTGCGCTACCTGCCCGCCGAGGAGGACGTGCTGCCCTGGGCCGCCGCCAACAGAGGCCTCGCCTTCTTGGACGTGCCTCTGGAGAACGCCGAGGAGGGGATCTTCTATGTGAGTGTTTGCGTATGCATTTTTGGTGCGACGATAAAACTGGAAACATATTGAGCGAATGCTGACATGGCCCCTTGTTCTGCTTCTGGACATAAATGTAACTTCAAATTAACTTCTCCCCATAGCACGTCATACACAGTTTTTAACCGTTTTGATGTAAATAAATAAATAAATAAATACTAAATACTGAAAGCCAAAGATAGGGATTGCATCATAGAAGAGGCGACTCCACACGTTCGGCAAGTAGTGAGCAAACCTGCTGAGCAAGTAGTGAATCCTGAGTATTATGGATGAGTTGGAGCTGTTTGTCTAGCATAAAACATTCAGAGCTCGCCCTACCTGTAGCGTGTTTGCCTTTAGAGCACATCACACGACTCGAACAATTGCCGATGGCCTCGTTTACTCGGTATGGGGCGGGAATAAGTTCGCTACTCGCCAAATGTGTGGATCTACCATAAGGCAAAGTGTAAAATCGAACACGGTTTTTTCAGGTGAAGATTTCTTTATGCCAACAGAAGCAACGTTTCTCTTAAGATTTTTTAGAAGCAGTGACTCAATAACATAAGTGCATAAAATCACATTCCAAAGAAATGATTTAAACAAACTTCCACCAATTTTCAAATATGTTTTAATTATTATTTATCAATATATAAACAACATTTCCCTCTCAGTGGGTCCGCGCCTAAAGTAGTGAAAATTGCTCTTGCAATTTCAATTCAATTTGTAATATCTGCTTACTATTTTAAAATTAAAATAAAATTTTAGTATTGGTCATTAATATTACACTTTTGTAATAGTCACATAATATTATACAGTAATACCACAATTTTTGTCCATCTCAACACATCTCAGCCACATCTAAAACTCATTAGCAACCATAGCACATTAGATGCGTAACATAATTCTTTTAAAGCTAATATATTAACACAAATGTAACAATCAAACACTGCGTTACATAGTGTCAAAAATGTCCAAAAATGAAAAGTAATTCTGAGTACTTTAAACCATATCGCGGATTTGCCATTGTCGTATTGTGACATGATATCTGAGTCAAATTCGCAACTTGGAACATTTGCAAAAAGGTACGCAAAACTACTCACATTTTCAAAGAAATTGTACATTTACTCATCTAAAGTTCATTAAAAGACATCCGTGATCAGTATTGTGGTTTTGCAACATTATTTTTTGCAAGATTTGAAGATACAGTTAGTTTACCAAAAATAGAACTTGTGCCATTTTTCTCAAATATATTTTTATATATTATATTTTTTTCAAAATTTTCGAACAAATGCTTACATTGCTAAATTTAATCATTTTATTTCATGGTGTAATTGTGTCAGAAATTTAATATTTTACGATATTAATGAACTCAAATGATGCTCTTTCATTTGATGTATATACTGAATTCATTATTTGTTTTAAATTTTTTTTGACCTATTTAATTTTTATTTTTTCAATTTCTCACAAAAATCGACAGTATAAAAATTTGAAACAAAAATACTATTGTAATATCTAAAAGTTCTACATAAGTCTGGTAAGTTACAAATTGAGTCACCGAGATGATTCTGAGAACGTAAGTAGAATAGAATGTCTACTTGCTGCTTTACTGCAGATTCTGCTAGAGCGCCACCCCTCAAGCACGTGCCAATCAGCAATAGACGATTACCATCAATATACTTTCACAGAGCAATAGACAGAAGTATCCCTTCACATCTTACTATGTGCCAGATCTATGCACATGCCCTTCATTGCCAATTAAATTCAAATTGAAGTGTCAAACGGATTCATTTAGTATTAAATGGAACATTTATGCGAATAAATGTATGTGACAATTAATTAAATTGATATTTCTTTTACTTCACTTTATGGCAAATATCGTTAACTGTCTTTTTCATAAAGAAAATAAACTATGTTCTACGCGCCTTCTGTTTTTATTACTATAAAATTGTTGCAGTAGTCCTATTTCTAAATCATCAGCGTTGCTAAATATGTAAAGGTAATGTTCTCTACATTATCATCAACCCACTGAAATGAATTCCTGGACAAATTAATAGGCTCCTGTCAGGATTAAAGACTAGCTTTTATTAAGAACATTATAGTGGTCACTGCCTCTCGGAAGATCCATTTTCATAAAAGTTAGCGAAGCGAAGAAATGCCATTCAGCACTCACATTGAAGACATCTTTGAGGAATCATAAATTCATATTGTTTTTAATACTATGCCCTGACCCCATCCGAAAAAGATGTCTGTTAAAACTGTCATAAACTTACTTGAGAAGTGTTATGAGTTTACACTGAAAAGGGTGAATTGAATTCGTTTCGTGTTTCAGGCACCCAGAAAAAAATATTTTTTTATTTTTAAATTTTTTGCTTTGTCTGAAGTGCAGCACAAAATAATACATATTATCTAAGACATTAATTCACAACAGTCTCTGAATTACATCTTCAAGAATGAAATAATAATTTTCTAGAAAATCACACCGGACAATGAAAATTTCCAGGATCAAATTTTATTTTTGTCTCATCAAGAGAGCAGAAGACAGCAAACGACGGGCGAAGACAGCAGAAGAAACAGAAGACGAACTTAGTCAGTTGTTTTTTTACTCGTATCATGTGATACGTTAGGATGACAAGGACCAGCAGTGTACATTTAGTCATCATTGTCACTGCACAACACATTTGCGGCATAAGTGTGGTCGGTTATCACTTTTTTGAAAAAACTGCACTTGGCTCATCACGAGAAGAAATTTTGAAAACTAATTTTCCTAATATAACTCTTTTTTATAGCAAACTATCAATTTTCAACTTCTCAAGAGTTCTGGTTGTAAAAACCTAAATTTATACTTCTTCTGCAATTGTAGTTTTTCGTATTAAGGAAATTCAAGTCTCACGGTAGCTTTATGTCTGGATGCCACGATGCGTCATCGGCGAACCGTAATTCAAGCAGTGGGCTGCCTACGTGCGCCGGTGATCAATCAAGTTTTTAAAAGGCTATTTATATGTGTCTCACTTTGATATTTGGTAGATCTATATAAAATTAGTTTAAAACTACATGAGTACTTTTTACAATTAACTTAAGCGTCAATTTAATGTAAAATGTAATTTTTAAAATTTAAATATATTTCAAAAATATAAATAATATATTTACTAAAATTATATTTACATTACATGAAAGTGTATCTTTTCAAGTTAAATTTAAATGTAATTTTATTTTTGTGAAGGAAATGGTATTTTCGCAAAAATTTAAGCATCAGCGCGCGCATTATTCTTCGAAAAAAGTAATTGGTAATATTTCTGAAAGGGATAGGGTTAGAAAAAAAGAAAAAAAAATGCGTTTCACATATTTTCAACCATAGATCTCGTTAACAAATTTCAAGGAACTAAAAAATAGTGATGTTTTGTGAGTGTGTGTGTTGTGGTGAGTGCGTGAGTGTTGGTCGCGGATTGACTCAAGTAGTATGCAAGAAAGTAATAACATCAACAAAATACATTGCAGTATCATACAGACCTTGTCTTCAGTTTGCTTAATAAAATTATATCGTAATTTCTTTTCAAGCGAATGGGAGGTATGAGTGAGTGACGCCGTGACGTTCGAGGCATCCGTTTGTCTCGATTGCTGCTCTTGAAGTTTGGAATTTTTATATTCTTGGTTATTTCAATGTGGTTTAAGACGTGATAAGTATTTGAGAAACAAACAGGAAAGTCCATTCGTTCGTGCCAGCGAATGTATTTAAGTAGATGATATAGTTCAGCAAGGAATTCCGTTGTATGATTTTTTAGATACATTAAATAAGTATGAACAAATTAAAGATTTGCAAATGAATAAATTTATCTCAATCTTTTGGGGTAAGCTTATCAGATTATATTAGCTCTGGAATTCGAATATATGTCTCAACGTGTTATGTATTACTCTTATCTTGATACAAATTGTGTGCGTTTGTTATACGGCTGTGCTGTCTGTTTTTCAGTGATTACTGATATTTTCCAAACTATATTTATCATACACATAATTTAACTTAATGTCACTTTTTGGTATGTAAAAATCATCAATTATGCAGATATTCACGATTTTTACGACGTTTGTTTTGTTTGGCTGATAATTGAAGTATCTGCTATCAATAAACTGACATTGATTGTAAATTAATGCTCCTAATATCTGGGATCTCAGAGTTATCTATGAAACATGGATTAAGAATTGTAATGTAAATATACTGAACAGCTGATAAATTTCATTATTCTTTAGAACGAAGCGATTATCAATGATAAGTGACAGGCAATGTAGAGACTAATAATTTGGTATGAATTTTACTAAAGAAGTATTTGTTAACAAGAAGTGCTAGGTTTTAGAACTGTGCCTTCATGTCTCTTACAGGTCTTTGTCAATTTTGATGATAAATAAATAATATACTTCTGCTGTGTTTAAACAAAAAACTATAACTCATGAAGATAGATTTTTTTCTTTTTTACTGTGAAACGAAACGTGAACTTCGCTCGTACGTTTTTTATCGAATGAACAAAGATCACCGAATCTTTTCCGCTGCATAACTGTTTCTATACAATTAGACATCACGATCACATAATCTTCCTTAATTCGAACTGAGCCGCCGTAAGGTAGGCCCCCTTCTAAGAGGCATATGCCGGCGGTGAAGTCTTGCGGGCCCTGAAACTTTGCGAGACTAAGGCAAATACGTCATGTATACTCCAAGACAGTTTTAAGGGTTCTAATGATCGTGCAGCGACAACAATTCTGAGGGCCATTGGCCTGAGAACATCTTGTTGCATGAGATCATCATTTAACGCCGCATTTCACTCTACCATTTAACGCTCGTGGTTCTTAGAGAATTTTATATTTTATATAATTTTCATGATTCTGATTTCCTTATTTTTCCAAATAACAAAATGTTAACTTGACTGTCCTTGTTCTGGATTGTCTTTTCGTATTTCTCTCCCATAATTCCTTTTCATAGTTCCCTCTCATAGGTATCTTCATAAGAGAACATTATTCAATTGTTTTCATATTTCCCTCGTAATCACGATCCTCTTTATCCAGGTATGTTATGCCTTGCACATCGAGCTCCGTGTCGAAGGCAATAACAAACAATAACGAAGAATAATAAATAACGAAGAACAATAATAGTGAACAATAAATTATACTTATTTTTATTTGAATCATTATTTCTTGTTATTGCCTTCTATATGGATTTCGATATACGCTGCTTAACTTATTTACATCGATGGAAAGCGTTTAGGAGTGAATCTGGCGAATGGCCCTGAAGTTTTTTGTTCTTTTAAACTCGTATGAATGCCTTGGCGCATAAGTATGTTAAACAGTTATATAAATTTAGCGTACTTTAGAGAATGCAAAGCATGTTAAAAGTTCAGCATTTTTGCACTTGTAATAAATGTGAGACGATGCTCAAATGTTTAGTTATAACTGAATTCAAGTACACCAAAGAAAACAAAATACTTTCGCCGGCCGTATCAGACACTACTGACAGTAATTTAAAAAATGAATTAAAATAAAATGGCAGTGAGTAAGGCTGTCAACAAAATTAGTGTATAAGAAACGTGGTAAACATTATTTCACTTCGCTCACAGGATTCGACCTATCGGCCACCCGTCGAAACATTTCCTACTCGCAATATAAAATGCCCCTTTGAGCTCCCGTGTCATTAACTTTCGGGTAGTCTGCCATAACCCTGCCTTGTCCTGAGTGACCGAGTGGAGGGCCTAGGCCTGGGATTAGCCCCTGCTGCTCCCGGGGCTGAAAGAGGCCATTTACGTTGTGCAGGGCAACCTGCGGCGCGCCACGTCGGCCGCACTTACCGTAATGTAACATAGTTATTTGTATTCTAGAAGTCAAATAAAATGAACTTTAGTAAGGCTGTTTAAAAAAATTGTGTATGACACACCTAGTAAAAGTGATGTTATTTTTCTCATACGATACCGCCATTCGACCTATCGGTCTCGCGTCGGAACATTTCCTACTCACAAAATAAAATCTCCCTTTTTACCACTCGTGTCAAAGTTCCGGGTAGTCTGCCATAACCCTGCCTTGTCCCGAGTGACCGAGTGGAGAGCTTAGGCCTGGGCTTGGGCCTGGGCTTGGGCCTGGGCTTGGGCCTGGGCTTGGGCCTGGGCTTGGGCCTGGGCCTGGTCTTACCCCCGGCTTCTCCCGGGGGCTGAAAGATGCCATTGGCTTGCGCAGGGCTTCCTGCGCCGCGCGACGGCGGCAGCCTTCACGGCACTGAGCGGCTTCTCGCGGCGCGGCGACGCCCCCGAGCTCATCCTGCGCGGGAACCTGCTCAAGTGGGCGTGCCGCGCGGGCCACGCAGACTGCCTCAGCCAGGCCGCGCAGCTGCTCGCGCGCAAGGTGTTCGACGGCGCCACGTGAGTACCCTTCACCGCCAAATTGAACATCCGATTTCCTGCATTCCGTTTCCGTTTGTTTTCTAGCTTTGCCAACCAATATATCGTTGAAACACGTCTCTATCATACTGAAAAATATTTTCTTTGAAAATGTGTTTTTTCGGTGTTAAACGGTATCCAAAAACCGTCGAATCCTCTTTCTTAATTGAACTCTAAGGTTGAATTTTCCTTACCTGAAAAGTTGTGTTTCATGGATTGATTGACAGGAAATGTTATCTTCAAACCAAGCTAACAACGTAGCTTTCAATGACCATTCAAGCGATATTAAAGTCATTAAACATTTAAAAATCATCTGGTTGCGACCAAATTCCCAAAGTTGATGATTAATCCTTCTTTTGCTTTCTGTGCATATTGCTAGGTTGGACCCCAATTTGAAGGACGTGATTATGTGCTATGGTTCGAGAGCCGCAGACGATAAGCTTTGGAAAGGTCTGTGGGAGTGGTACGTTCGTGAAGAAGATGCAACACAAAAAGCTTCTGTTCTCACTGCTCTGGGTTGTATAGAGGATCGCAATGATTTATACACGTAAGTATGTACATAAAGAAAACTTTAATTAAACCTTGACAACGATAGTTTTTTTAACCTTTACTCCTTTTTTTCACTTTTTGAAACGTTAAAAAGACCATTAATTTCAATACTAAAGAAAGTTTACCTTTCAATCTAAACTACTTATTCTCGTATAAACCGTTTGAAAGCTTCTAAACTCGTTCCCTCCTTTCACAAAACTTAATATTCAACCCCTTCAACTAATTGTATTTTGGAAGAAAATAAGTTTCACGTGCTAGTACTTTTTGAGAAAGCCGATTGCATTTACATTGTTACAATGATATTCCTTTTGCAAGGAATATTTATATATAATTACAATTATATATAATATCTACATTTTTGTAGGTATTCGTATTTCGATCTAAATTGTACTTTAAAACATATTTTTGAAAAATGAAACAATTCTTAATTGTCGAAGCAGATTCATTCACACAAAGAGGGTGTAATTCATACAAGAGCAATAAAGAGCTCTGCCCTCCGTCTCTGAAATTTTAAATATTACTTAAATTAGTAGAAGCGGAGGTATCAGTGATGTGTGACCAGTATCAATATGATCAATCGTAACCGTTATTGTTAATTCTTTGGTGCAGATTCTTCCAAAAAGTTGCCAAAGGCGAAGACGGGGCCGACTCCACGGCGACCCGCAGCGCGTTCCAAGCGGCGATTTCGCACCCGCGGGGCATTGCCGCTGCGCTCGACTTCGTCACGGAAAACTTCTTGAAATTGCGAGAGTGGACAGAGTGAGTGTGACGAGCGGATGCGCGAGACTCTTTTTTGAGATATCAGAATTTGAAACATACACACACACACACACACACACACACACACACACACACACACACACACACACACACACTATAATGCAGTCTTGGATATCCGGGATGAGCCATGTTTCTGTCAATTGTACTGACGTTTCGGACATCTTGCTGTGGTCTTCTTGAGAGCTATACTGCCGAGAAGGCCACAACAAGGCCGAAACGTCAGCGCAATTGACCGAGACGCGGATCATCCCGGATAGCCAAGAATGCATTGACTCCGGCTGCGGAAGCCACACACGAAACCACACACTATAATGTCTGTATGTTTCAAATTTGAAATATCAGAATTTGAAACACACACACACACACACACTATAATGCGTGTGTTTTTCAAATTTTTATATTATTATTTATTTCATGAACTTAGAAATCTAAAATAAAATACAAACACTAGTAAATAGGAATGAGAGCTACATAACTTCTTTGTTGAAAGCACCTCCATTCCAGTTACATTCTAGAGCATTCAAATATTTTAAAACCATGGGAAGACTTCCCTATTTCTTAATATAATATATTGTTCTGTTTCAGTGAAGAGACTGTTAATAAAATTTTAAGTGATTTGGCCAATCAACTGACTTCAGAAACGCAATCTAAAAGGGTGAGTATCTTGCAATGTTTATTAACAGGACGCTGCATCACGAGAATTTTCAAGTCACTTTTGTTTTGTTGTACATCAATGTCTACATGTCTGTTTCATAAATATGTAGGCGCAGTGAATATGTGGTCAAAGCAAACTTTCCTACTTTTTAGGGCAAGACTTCTAACTAATCTAATTATTGGTGGCAGTATTTATACATTAAAAGTATGCCTTGGAAGGTTGACTTAATCACTAGACGTAGAAAGTAATCAAAAAGATTTGTTTTCACAACAGAGGTACTTTATTGGACTTTTTGAAGAAAAATATTTCATTAATATTTATCCTTTTCTTCAATGAGATATGACGAAAATAGTGTATAACATTTTAAAAGTTATAGTAAAAATATGTTATATGCAATTTTCAAATCGTGGTTATTTCAGAATAATGTTAAAAGAGGAAAATTGAAAAAAATACGTAATTTACTCGCTGGATGAATATCGAACTGTTTATCTTTGATAAATAAGGTTTGAAAATATTCGTATTGGTTCTTAAATGGTGATAATAAATTGAAGAGTTGAACACTCACTAGAACATTGCTAGAACAGACAAAGTTAAAAAGGAATCTAACACAAACAACTACATGTGTTAAACGATATTCAGTAATTGAAAAGTGATACACTTTCACACAAACTAAGTTTTCTAATACAGTTTATCAACAATATGACTTATTTAATAATTTGTTCATGTTTAGTTTTGATTTGTACGAATTAAGAGAATAGTATACTACTACATTGATAAGAGGTTGACGAAAATGCACATTCGACAAAACATGTTAACTTCCTGAAATTCACTATTATCGTATACATTTCACAAAGTAAACCCGAGTAAATGTCCTTCATTTTAGCTGTATCTTTGTTTAGATTTGATTCAAGAATCAAAGAAAAAATTGATTTAAATTTTAAAATAAATACATGGCAAAATATGGCTAACTTTTGTTTTTGTATAAAATAAAAACTATAATTCCAAATAAATGTTATAAAAAGTCTAGGACATGTAGAGGAGTATAAAATGATAACCTTTTGCCTGTGGACATGCAGTGGTAAATTTCATTTTAAGAGGTTAAGCTTTTATACACGTGGCAGTTGCTCCTGACTTTTGAGCAACCATGCGCTGTAACACCCCCCCCCTCATCGCACTTGCTCTTACCGCACCTGTCGAAGGTCACACTCCCTATGCGCAAATTGCCACGCGCAGCGCCTACAAGAGCTCAAACCTCAATCGTGGGCTCTTATTCAGTCGTCAGCCGGTTACCCGGTTCGTCCCATGGGACGCGTATTCAACCTTACACTAGACTAATACATGAGCGGGGTCCCAAGAACGCGAGTCCTTCCGCGATTACACATATGTAAGAGACAAGGGACAAACAACCCTACCCAAGGTGGGAATCGAACTCGCGACCCTTCCGACCAAAGCGCTGAATACATGCTCTTAGCAATTTTGGCTATCCATGTCTGCAAAATTTCTTATTTTATTTTGGTGGTAAATGATTTCCACAATGGTATCAGAGGCGCTTTTATCTAACACGCGTTTTACAAAAACCTTTTGGCAAGTGGCAAGGAAAATATACAATATTTAATGAAACATAAAATAATAAGTCACTTGTCTTTTAATACGTTCATTCGGAACTTGAAAAACTAAACACACAAACATGAACCAAAAAATGAAAATGTAACCCTCCAATACTCTTTCTACAAATAATATTTCTTCGTGATCCTGATGTGAATTTATATATCATTTCAAATTAATAAAATGAAAAAAAACCATTCAAAAGTATTTTCTATCTTTTTTCTCAAATTATAACATTCCAGCAAAATCAAGTACATTACACATTTGTTTTTACTACGGTTTCAACGTTTCAGTTTCAAATTCTCTACCTGAAGTATGACCTTACATCCCTTACATCAAACTTATTTCTCGTCTTGAGATCTCATTTTAAGTATATTTCAGATAAAACAATCTTCTAACATTTTACTTAACATTGCTTCTCAAATACTAAGATTAACATATAACATTTTACACAAGTTTCAGTTTCTCCTAATCCTCATTACTAATTCCCTTTCTACTCAATTCTTACTTTCGTAATAACTGTTTCTTTGTTTATTTACCAACCACTGCTAATTCATATTTTCTTCAAATTTTTATTACATAATAAGTTTGTCGTTCACACTTATTTCAAAATAAATATACAGTACTCTCTCATACAATTTGTTGTTCTCACACTCTTATCACCATCACGTTATGGTAACGTAAGAAAAATTCGAGTTTTAAATTGAAATTTAAAGCTACTAATTTTTAACTCGCACTGTTCACTGTTATACATGACCTTATGTGGAGAGATGCAGAACACGGCCTTCGGGAACGGCAGTTGACGCAGCAACTCTGCACTTCGGCGCCTTCCATTACACCACCATCGTATTCCAACTCACTCCGTTCTCGCAGATGACTGCTGTTCCCCGCCGCACAACCCCCATTCAACTTTTCACTTGCGAGTGACTTCAAAATTATATTCTAAACTGTAACTCCAGTGTTGGTTCAGGAGTGGCTGCTTCTAATGTTCACTCGGGTGTTAAAGTCCGGTTTCGATGTTGACTTGACAGTTCCGATGTTCACTCAAAGAGTTCGCTTCATTCCTTACGGATATAAAGAAAACTCGTTTTCTCTCGCCTTCTGACGCCGTAGATAAATTGCTCGCTTAATATTGCTTGATTTCTTGTTATTTTCAAACTCTTCTTCTAATGAAATCCGGTCTTAACCGAAGTTATCCGACGAACACTTACAGCAGCTGGGGGCACGTGCGAAATTGAACTATGGCCCGTCGCTAAGTGGTGATTGCAGAGAGTATATATGGGGGATTGCTTCAAGCGAGCAGATATACCGCAGGTCACGGAGACTTCATGCATTTGCCAAGCACCTGTGTCTACGGAACTACCTAAAACCATGGAGAAATTGCCACATGTACAAATGCACACACCTCCGTTACATTGACCTCAGTCACATATATATGTGTATTCGGTCCCTGTATGTTTCCAACATTTATTCTGGGACACCCTGCTTACTAAGTTCAAATGTTTTGATAAATAAATAAGTAAAAAAATTCTAAAATTAATAACAATATCTCTTCTCGTAACTGATTTTTACTTTCCCGTATACGTACGTATATACAGAGTAATATATGTAGAATAGGGAAAGTTATGTAGTGCTACAGCAAACTCGATTTTGAGACTTCAACTGAAATACACGTTTTGGGGTCCCCTGATACAGAAAATGTGTTTTTTTTTCAAAACGTCTGTCCGTCCGTCCGACCGTCCGCTTGTCAGTCTGTAAACACCATTAGCGCCTAAACCATACGTACGATTGTTTCCAGACTGGATATTCCTCAGTCAAACTGGATTCACTCGAGACACCGAGATTTTTAAAAACGTTCTTCAAATCTGGGGGTACTGTGCATGAAGCCCCTCGGACATTTTCAAAATTTTCTCAAAAACGGCTCTAAGTTTTTCTTTAAAATTCTTGTAAGAATGTAGTAAAATACCCGTATAAAAATGCCTTAGGTCAAATTTTTATGGTTCTCTATCAATTTTTGATAGAGTTTGATTTTGGCAAAAGTTTGATTTTTTTGTTTTCCAAGAACTACAAAATTGAAGATAAAGGTTTTTCCTTCATATAAAATTTGTTGCTCATAGTGAGTTGCTTCATTTGTCATGTACATTTTTTAAAAACTTAGTTTTCGCGCGATGTTGCGTGCAATATTTGTAATTTACAAAAATACAATAACAAGAATTTATCAAAAAGCCACCAATTTTTTCTTTAAACTTTAGGTAGGGATAGTGCTAAATGAACTCTATAAGATGACATAATCACCAAATTCCTCTATTTTGTTTTTTAATTACAAAAATGTGTTTATTTACTTGTTTCTCACGTCGTTAATATTTATACTAGCGCCAATTTGTTCACTGTATTATATTTACACGTACATGTGCTTTAAATGTCATATAAAGATTCTCGATAACTCAACCGATTTCTGTGAAAACTAGCTGAAATCTCTGAATATGCAGAAACGCTCAAATGAAATTTTCTTAAAAACGACACAATTTTTTTTCTTCTAACGCCTCGAATGGATAGTGCTAATTGCACTCTTTAATATGATGTTAAGTTCATTTCGGGGTATTTTTTTTATTTTTTCGGAAATTACACAAATGTAATGTATTTGAAATAATTCTCACGCCGTAATATTCATATTTCCAGGTTTTTTGTAAAGACTAGTATAAATGTGATTTAAAATTCCTCTAATGAAGTTTTTAGAAGACTCAAAAAATTGCTTGTAAAGAGCTTCAAATTTCGAATTTACAGTAGTAGGTAAACGCCGTTTTCTTAAATTAAAGGCTTTTTTTAAAGAAGAATACCAAATTTTTCTAAGAAAATTGCCATTTCCGGCGTGGATTTACTGTTTCTTTTATTTACTTTTCTTTGCCGCCAGTTCGTTAACTTCCTGGAGGAGCAGCTGAGGAACGACAAGCTGCAGGACGCCCTCGTGAACGAGCTGCAAGCCAAAGTGAAGGCCAACGCGGCCGCTGCGAGCGCGTACACGGAGGAGGCGCTGAAGGCGTGTCCCGCCGCCGCCACCCCAAAGAACCCGCCCCACCAGCCCCCGCGCCCCCGCCCGTCCACCCGACACCCCCCGCCCTCGGCGTCCACCGACCCAGGACGTGCCCAACGCCCACCACCCGGGGGGCGCGCCCCGCGCCCGCCTTCCGCCCCCGCCGCCGCCCGCCGCGCTCCCTGGGCGCCGCCCTCTGGGCGCTGCGCTGAGGCGCCCCACTTCTACGACTGACGCTCTCTCTGTGATGCAACTACACTGAAACCTGCTATAATGTCTTGTCTACGATCAAGCGTTCACTTCTGTTACCGGCCATTTCAACCAACGGCCGTCAACAACAACGCAAACTTTCTTGCGATTTTTTTTTCAAACTGGAGCCTTAACACTGAAGGGAAGGCTTATATTAGAGATTAGTGTTCATTCAGTATCTTTTCGAAACGAGAAACAATGTCAGATTATTTAGAATACAGTTTAATTTTTACAGATGTTATAATTACATTTTTAACATTTAGCTTGGGTAATAATGTATAATCTGAAGTTTCATTAGAGTCCGAATTGTACATTCAAGACCGGTTTAAAATCAAATACAGGAATGGAAAGAAGCTAACAATACTGTAAGAAAGAAAAGAAACAAAAAATAGAATTGATTATTTTTTGAAAGTTTTTAATACGTACTTTGTTGAGATGTACGTAAAAGTTTCCAGAACTATGTAGATGACATGTAAAAAAATATTTTATGTACCTAAATTTACTAACTTCATTATAAATAATAAGATTAAATCAAATTCCACTTCCTCTATTCTCAAACCTTCACTTTTACTAATGGCTATTTTTCTCCGACACTAATAGTGGTCGCTTAGGACAGGTTTCACTGTAGTACTATATGTAAGTAATGTGACAATAGTTTTATTTGTGGGATTAATCCAATATGTTTAAGAAAGGTGATGTGCTTCTTTATGCAAGAAATAAATCATATTTTGTTGGTACTAATTTACATGTATTATTTCTTTCTTTCTTTCTTTCTTTCTTTCTGGAAACATGTTTTTGGAGACGTTTTCTATCACAGCTCATTATATTTCCAGATATGTTATATTACAAAAACCTTCTCATGCACCCACGCGGATTGATGTGAACGGGATACATTACATAAAAATTGTAGATTGGAACAGTCTGGAACTGAACAATATCCAGTTTAAAAGGTCGATCGTAAATGCGTTTTATTTTTTTTCTATAGACAGGAATCACGTTTGCTAGTCCCCGGCGCTTCAGCAAAGAACTAAACAACTTATTAAAAAGGTGACGTTTGCAAACTCTTGCATCAAAATGGCATGGTGTTTGGGAGAAAAATTGTGAAAAGAAGAAGCTTACTGACACATAACGGGGAAACCTACAGATCCAGTGCTGCCCGCCTAACACACTGCCAAAAGGCGAATTTATTTCATTTCTTGTATTTAGAAAAGAACACTGCAGAACCTATTGAGCTAAACCCTGCACGTTGCATCGAAACTCTCTTAAAATTGCACTGAACATGCAAGTATTACCACTGCCTCAGATCTAACCTCCAAATATTTTTTTTGAATCATCTATTCGGGTACAGCGCCTAATGCCAGGCCTCGAGCCAGAACCGGCGAAACTGCGATGTAAAGGGTCGATTTCTAGTCCAGCAATAAAAAGACAAATAATTGGCCAACTATTATATTATACCGGGCCGAACTGAGGCGAATTGAAGGTGCTGTGAAGTTCTTCAACGGGTTGGGATACGTGTCACATATTCCCAATTGCAGTGAGGCAGGTGCAAATGCAATCGCGTTTGAAAGAGGGAGAGAAATCATGTCGGTGAAATACGGCGTGTTCAGAGTTAATGGAACTGGAGTCAATGATTGATTCAACAGTCTTCAGAACCATCGGTCGCGCCAGTAGCGCTAATGCAAAACCGGTGAACTAGACCCACGCAGGCCAGTTTCTTTTCGGAGCAATGCTACAGCCAACCAGCTGCGCAATTAGTAGCAAACCAATACAATACTCGTAGTTTTCACCTGAGAGGTAGATTCCAGACTGCAATACGATATTGTACCAATAAAGAAATTACTTTTGAAACTAAGAAAATCAGTACAAATTTTCTTCGGATAATTGTTTCACAATAGTGATCTGGGTTTGAAGATCTTTAATAGTCTTTCCTTTTGTTATTTGTTAAATAATGTATTTTATTTGTTTTCTGATTCTTTTTTGTTAACAAACTGTTCGGCAGCAGAGAATTTTGGCATACAATACGTTAAAAATTAAGCGTTGGGATGACCCAAGGGGGTTTTATACTAATCGTCTAGGCTGAAGGCTAGTCACGTTACGCATAGTGAAGGGTTAACTGTGCCCTTGAGTATTAAATTATTAAGACACCATTTTGTTCGCCGTTTGCGCAGCCATCGCAGCCGATGGCTGAATCTAACGTCTAGTAAGTTTACGTTCCCCGAATGGGTACACCAAAACTCTCTACAAAATGTGTCCACCCCATTAATATTCAAAATTCAAATGCACTCATCTTATTAATTCTGTAGTCACCTGGTAAAATTCTTTCTTATTATGATTGATATGTATTCTTAATTAGACACGTCTAGTTAAGGGTTTAAGAACTTTTACTCTGCACCCTCAGAATTAAGAGTATTGAATTACCTAATTAACGTGTTTAAATTGTACTAGATAGCTCATATTGTGTGCTGTTTCAAGCACTTTTTTGAAGAGAGATCTGTACAGAATATGTGACAGAATAAAACGATTATGGTATGTAATACAATTATAAATATTATTTTACGGATGTTTTGCCTTTCGATGCAGTATTACAATTGTTTCTGAATATTACGTAGTATTGAAAAACAAAGGTCTTAGTGTATATCATTTTTAGGATCTTCAATGAGACCATACTAATGTGACGTTTGAAAACATTATTTTGTAAAAGAAGTGCCTCGTTTATCGTGGGTGTCTTCTTGCACGAAAGTTTCTAACGACTTTATTAGTTAAAGTTCATTTTCGTTTTGGGGAACTATCCATATCGGAAGTATTAATTACTCCTTCTGGTTTCTGATTTTTATGTGAATATTTAATGACATGAATATTAGATAATTGTTCAAAAGTATATATATATATATATATATATATATATATATATATATATATATATATATATATATCAATGTAATAAATATCAAAATTTTCAATTCAAATAAGAAATGCAATTCGTTGTAAGAAAATGTATCAGCTTCATAATTTTCTTGAACGAAATAATTGACGAAACAACTATATTGAGGTCATAACCTTATTCTTTTGAACATGTATTTCTCTCACACTCAAAAGAACTTATTTGCATACCTTAGCATTTTATGAGAGGTAGCATACAGACCATTATCATTGTGGGATTTAGGAAGCTACATGTATAAACCTGGTCATAATCCGCCTTGAACCTTCCTAAGACCAGCTGCTATCTTTCATTACCTGTATATGGCAGCTTCTTTACACTTCTTTTTAGAGGTCTCTTATCCCTCATTTGTAATGACCAAAATGTAATGATTATTTTATTTCAAGAATGATCAAGAATTTCAAGAAATCTGACTGGAAAATATAAGTATAGATTTGTACTTCTTACCGTATTTATTTTTAATTGTAAATCTAAAAAAAAAATATTTTTACAATTGTTGAAGATTGGAGACTTTGTAAATATACTGCAATACATTTAAAATTGTTTTTGTGTGCGTCTTCAAACTTTAAAAGGTGTAAGCAATGAAAGAGCAGCCCATGACACTGACTAGAATATGCCATTTTTGAAGGTATTTTAACCTCTTTAAGATACCGAAACATTTGTTAATATTGGTGAATCATTGTAAAGGTTTTTGAGGCCCATCATCAATTTAACTCCTACATTAGTAAAAGAAGTCTCTTAATATCAAGCCTGAAACATTTATCTACTCGTACGTTTAAAAAATCGGAAATTTGTGTACTAATATCATTATACTTTGTACATTGCAATATACATTTATGCCCTTGGCTTTTGCACAGTATTCTGTATACTTTATATATGAGGCGTTATCTCTTACATTCACTGCTTTTCAATACATCGCTCATTTATTTTGTCACGAAAGTTTTACAAGACAAGACGAACTAATTTGAGATTCACTCTCACAATTACTTGCGATTTGCTTTCACAATGCAAACACTAAAACACGGTAACAATTACAAAAAAAAAGATATTTATAAAATCATTCCTAAAGTTTTTGTGACTACAGTTTTTGAAGATATACAGTTTTATAAAAATAGTTTGCCACACCTTCAAAGCAGAGTGTATGAAGTCATATTTTTATGAGTATGTTTGTTGTGAATATTTCGTTGGTAAATAATGAATTCTCCTTTCTAGAACTTCATCACTGACTTTCACATTTGTCTTGACATACAGAGCTTAATGAGAAATACATGAATTCATTAAAAATATCTGAAAATTATGCAAAGCGTAATTTAACGCAAATGATTTTACACATTTTTTTTATCACCAAGAATCACAAGCAACATGACATTGTAGTAGGCGCGCAGTTCATTAGATCTGATTGATGATTATGATACCTGAGCCCAGAAAGCCACTCAGACTGATAAGATAACCGGCTTGGGGCCGATGAGCGCTGTTTGTAACTCTCACCATTACTGTGTTATCACTGTGACCATCGAACACACGTCCAAGGTAGGGACCCAACAATTCTCAGTTCTCTGTACATATGTCATTAGATAAAATTAAAAAAAATACTTAAATTTTCTTATGTTGCTCTATTTTTTAATATTTGTACTTGACATTTTCAATGTCCTGCATTTCTTATCAATTAATACATTGTATCAAAAGATGAATGATTATTTTTTCTCTAACCAAATTGTAAAGGTCTTGTTCTTCTTAGAATTATATTTACATTTTTCTTTCATTACATTCAATAGACATTCTAAGTTAGCACATACAATATTTTCTTTTTTAGGTATTGGGATAATGTTTATTCCAATTTGTTGTAGACGATGGGGGAAAATAACATTTAGTTTTCTTTTTTGTACTTGTTACTTTTAATTTGGAGACATTGTCTCAAACTTGATTTGTAAAATGGCAGTATATATTTTTTATACCTGTATTGTAAAATGTTCGAAGAGACAAATACAATGATACAGGGATTGCTAATATTCGAAAAAAACTTTTGGAAAAATTGAGTTCTGTATTTCTACCGAAGCCACGTACGGATTTTTGTTTAATGTTCTTTGGGCAGCAAATCTAGTATTACAATGTAATAATTTTAAGAATTAAAGGCAAAATTAACATTCTAAACAACAAGAGAGATTCCAAACATGTGAATTTTATCGCTTTCTGATTATCTTATCAAAACATTGTGCATGTGGAATAGAAATACAAATTTGTTCTCTTACTATGCAAATTATTAACAAATAATTAGTTTGTTATTTTCCAAGCCAGTAAAAAAACATATTAAGGTATTGTGTGAGTAAGAAGATCAATGCTCGAAAGCAATACAAATAAATACAGTTATTGACATTGAAAATTAGTAGTTTTTATTTCCATGTTTACCCAGGGACATCAGTGAAGAATACAATGTACAAGAACATTTGAGTTCCTTTCTCTCTTTATCTCTCTTAATTTAACTATTAATAACACGTAATCCTAAACTAACACCTAGTTGTTCAATTAACGTCTCTGATAAAAAAATCACTAGCTGTTCTAAAGAAATTTAATCATACGTTGCAAAATCTCTCGCTTTCATAATGTCTCTTAAAAACGCACACGCGTATGCACAACGCGCTCGCTTGCGCAGCGCAGTTAACGGATTGTTTCACATCTCATACATATTAATATTTGAGTATTTGCTGCTGTCTTACTGACTGGACATAAACATAATTTCTATGGAACATAAACAATATTCAGAGCCAAGACGAAATAATATGATATGATATTCTAGTCTTATTTCATTAATTTTATATTACATACGTAAGTATATAACATTCGTTTTTCAACAGGTATGCCAGTACTTCCGCCCAATGAGGGCGTTTTACGTCAGTGCCATTCTGGCATGGCAAACGCCAGTTCCATGCCACTGTCACACGTTGATCATTGATTAATATGCAGAGAGCTGACGTTAATTACCGTCTACGACGATGTTAAACCAGAACATTACCAATTACAATTACTCCACAAAAAGAAGATGGAGAGTTTGTGAAATTTAACACGAAGTAAAAATTAAGCTTCTTAAGTACTGAATCTGCTCAATAACATTACATAAGGCAGGATATATCAACATAGAAAATGGAGGTGCGTTGGAGCGTTGCAACCCCCAAAACCGCTGGAAAAAATCTAAGAAGCCAGATAGTGTCAGTGAATTTTATGTGATCACACTAAAAGCAAGTGTGCAGAACGCACCTGATACATCATATTACGTACACGGAGGTTTTCCTGGACGGTTCTGATGGATTCTACAAAGCACGACACCTTTACATCGCCAATGGTGAAAACAAGAGTAAGTAGTTCTGAATATTTAAGATTAAATGTTGTACATATTCTACATAGAAAAATGTAGACTTTTCAGTGAGAAATTGTGTAGCTAGAGAAAAGTCTGCAACCCATATCCCCAGGTCTCTGAGTAAAGGAAATATCAAACAATGAACAAGATATAAAAAAATTAAAATGGCACACCGAAAGAACAGTCATTTTGTCATTTATCCGTAGTAATTAAGTGTTAAATATTATTTTCATACATTTTCTTTTCAGATTTGAATGTTGGAGCTCCATTCCCTTGTTAAAAATGATATAGTATTTATATTATTCATGTAAATTATATATAATTATTTATGTATATTCAATATTTAAGTAATTGTTTCACAAATAGTGTAAATCACTAACATTGATTTCACTATTGCATTTATTGTTTCATTTTCCCTCGAAACAAATGCTCCTGTTTCATTATTTCCCATAGGGATGTGCTATTGGTAACCCAATTTCAGCCAACACATGCTCGCAAGGCCTTCCCGTGTTTTGATGAGCCAGGATTCAAGGCAACCTTTGAAATTACACTGGTTGTGCCACCTGGTTACGAGGCTATCAGCAATTCAGTGGGCAAATCAGTAGCTAGTACCAAGAGTGCACAACAAAGGTATGTGCCAAATTAATTCTTATTTATTGACATTCTGTATTAGCTCTGAAATTATTGTTGTGTAATTTTAAATCTTTTTTAGGGAAACAGATAGCCAAGAAATAGTATTTGCAAAAACACCTTTTATGTCAACCTATCTGGTTGCTTTTATTGTCTACAATAAAGACACGTATAAATCAACAGGATATGCTAGTGGAGACTTACCGTTTAGAACATGGGCTAGTATCGATGAAATTGCAGCTGGGTCAGGCACTCTGAGCCAGACAGAAGGACCAAAAATTATCGCCCAACTGGAAAAATACACAGGAATACTCTACACAGCGAACTCACAGAAAATAGATCAAGCAGCTATTCCGGATTTCTCGTTCGGGGCCATGGAGAACTGGGGATTGGTTACATACCGAGAAACTGCGCTACTTTACGACTCCAAGGAGCATACCCAAACAGCCAAAAAACGTGTGTCTGAGCTCATCGCCCACGAGCTGACTCACCAGTGGTTTGGAAATCTGGTCACCACAGCGTGGTGGAGTTCTGCGTGGCTTAACGAGGGGTTCGCCACCTACTTTGAATATTACATCACAAACATACTGCATCCCTCCTGGCGTATGATGGAGCGACTGGTGATCGACGAGCAACTGACAGCATTCGGTGCAGACGGAACGCTGTCCGCCAGTCCCCTCACTAACGAAAAAGTCAACACTCCTGATGAAGCGGCCGCTCATTTCGGAACAATCACTTACAGCAAGGGTGAGGTTATTGGTGGTGGTTGTGAAAATATTTCATTTCAATGTAACATTTCAACATTTCATGTTACTGATCACAGATTTGGAACTGCCACATTTTATCGTAAAGGAAATTTTGGAAGGTTGTGGGGTAGGGGGTAGTGCGTAAACATTGCAGCACTGGGTCATGGGTTCAATTCTAGGGTAATGTATATGACCTTGTGATGGATTAAGCGAGCTCTTGGAAGATAATCTCGGGGTTCTACAGTATCCCCTGTCTCTCATTCCACTTTTCTTCATTACAGTACACACCTCCTCGACATTACAGATCACATCGACTCATTATATCATCATTCCTGTGCCTCCATGGTATCGGTGGTTGAAGAGTCCATAAATCACTAAAAATACATATGTAAAAAACTAAATCTAACAAAAATGTATGATCTGATAAGTTTTCATCCCATTTATCCATGACTAACATTATATTAACAAACGAATTCATAGTAATTGAGGCAACTAAAGAGAGAGAATCAGGTAACTTACAAGATTCAAAATATGGAGATTTTAACACATAATATCATCCTTCCGTCTATTTATAAAGTGAGTTGCCAGTATGTGTAACAATTACCTCTAATTTTAATTTGATGAATTTCCATTTGCACAAAGTTAGTGAGACGTCGTTATTAGTCATCTACATCAAATTTGACGGGAAGTTATACATACATATATATATAATTATTTTTTTATTTTGATGCCCAAAGATTTGGCATTTCAGTAATTGTTTGCTTGGAAACATGTTAATTGGTAAAATGTTCCCAAGTAAACGAAAGCAGTTCAAATATGAAATGTAGATAATCAGTTAGTGACTTATTTTATTGATAAAACGGAGAATTTTGAACAGTGAAACAGAAATGTTTTCAACGGTATTATAAATATCTCCTAAGTAATTATGTTAATTTAGTAAATAAAATTAATGAAATGATCAGTGGTGAGGTGTGACTTATTATATAATTTATATATAAAATATTTAAAATATAATTAGGGGTTCGATTACTGTGCTTAGTCGTCAGAACATCTATCATTATTGGACACCTCGCTTCTGAAAATTTACCGGTTTTAAAACAACAAAAGCAATCACTCAATAATTCGTCCTAGAAAAGTGTTTTCTCAAAATAATAGCGAGCCGATAAAATATTGTAGGTTAATTTATATGTTCTCAATTAGAAAAAAATATTATTTTGAAAATGAGGCGGCAAAATGTCATTTGTATTACGAATATCATATGACAAGTAGCTTAATATAAAACCATTTATCAGAGTTCTCTTGCCTGTATGGCTTAGCTCTTTTCTTCACTTTAGTGTTGATTCATTTCAACAACTAATTTCCAAAACAAAATTATATTATTTCAATATTAATGTTTTTATTTATAGTACATCTAGCTGAGAACACCCGACGGTACCTAGGCAGGTGTTAATCAGAGACTTCAATTAGACTGGGAATGGAAATTTATTTTCTCCAAATCAATAATTTTTTTGTATAAAAACACCAAAAGTAAAGTGATGGTACCATTGGTTTTTTTATTTTTCATTTACATATATTACGTTTGGTGTAACATTATACTTTCATATTTTTTTTACTAGTTTCTAGTTATTCTATTAATTTTTTTCTCTACATCATACTCTGCAATGTTACTGAGATTTTCAGTTAGGTTCACCTGCAAGACTAGACCCCTTGCAAGGTCTCTTTGAATTGTGGGTTTCCGGTGTTTGTTGTTTGGGTGTTTTGACTCCTCTCCACCGAACGGGGATGGGGATCGGGAGATTGGGTTGGTGGACGGAGTATTTCGTTCATGAAGAGAAGGGTTGTTTTATTATGGTTTTGGATGATGGGGATGGGGAAGGGAGGGGCAGGGATGAAAGGGGATGGGATGGGGTGAGAGGGGGGTGAGAAAAGGGAGGAGAAAGAAGGCGGCGGAGTTGTTTGTTTGTCTTTGCCCACTTAGGTGATGGGTGCCGTAAGATGGAGGATGTTTAATGGATGCTTTTTCCGAGTATGTCGGGGTGAGTTTCTGAGGATGTGGTGGTGGGGGAGGATTACGTCTTGGGGTTGTTAATGTACGTTTGGATTTGGGCTATTGCGGAGTTGTTGAGGTATGTGTGGTGTGCGGTATTTTGTTTTGGGATCATTTGGAATTGTAGATGGTATACTTAAGTAGGCGGAAAATGAGGCAGATGTAGTTTTCGACGCAAGTTATATTTGTGGGGTTGATGTGGGATGTACTGAAGCAGGTGGGATGGGTATATGATAGGACGGAACGATTGTATCAGTTGTAGGTTGCAAAGAAACGGTTGCCAAGAAATTGTTAAAGAAATTGGGATTATGTGGATTTCAAGATATGATAAATAATGTAGGGTTAATTTGAAAAGCATAAGTATAATTGTTATTTACTTATGTAATGTGATTATGAGAGTGATAAAATACCTGTATTAATGATAAACATCTCCTCATTAAAAAAACTTGTAACAAGTCCTCAAACATTTTCTTTTAGTCTGCCATTTTAAAAATCCTCATAATAATCACACTATGTCTTGAAACTATTACACACACTTAATCTAACTAATCATAACTTATGTTTTATTTCTTATATTTCATAGTCAAGGCAATATAGATGTCCATCATTCAGATCATTCAGATTACAAACAAGAATTTCAAGAGAAAAGGGAGCTAGATCAGAACATGAACCAAGAACATTCCCCGCAATCATTGATATTTTCTAATTTCCTCTTCCTTTCCCCTCTGGCCTCGCACTGTCTTGGTCCGCACAATTTTCTTCCAAATTGTCAAGTAGTTTTCTTTATTGCCAAATACATATTACAGTATCACAGGGACATTAATGAATTATTGCAAAGAAAACTTGTAATGCAACAAGGGAACATAATTTATTGTATTATTGGTAACGATTACATTATATTGTAAAATTGTTACGTTACTAGCTACAACCCTTACCTAATAATACTCGTACATTAGCCTTCACATGAATGGTTTGTTGGTCACGTTCTTTCCGAGTATTAGAAGTGTTTGAAATGTGTGAAAAGAAGAAATTTTACAATAATTATGCTATCTATGTATATTTTACTTTCATTAGGTATTATGTTTTATTTTAGGTAATGTGAAATGATGATCTACATTCCTGATAGTACTTGCTCCTTGTGAAATGATATTAATGACATTTTTTTATTTCAGGTGGATCAGTCGTACGCATGTTTGCAAATATCCTAGGCGAAAACAAATTCCAGACAGCCCTTCGCAACTATCTGAAAGATAAGTACGTAAATATAATTTACATGAAAATATGCGATTGTATTTAAACTTATTTGTGAATCGCTTTTTGCCTCCAAGATTTAAGAATTAAATTTTTGGTCAATGTCGTGAGCAAAAACATGTATTTGATGTCTTCTCAAATGCTCAAATTTCTTGTGGGATCAATGTTAAAAAGTCTGCTCGTAGTAATTTAAAATGATACGTGAAAGGATGAATGCTTCATTCATAGGTTATAGTCACCAACATTTTAAACGTTTCAATTTGAATACATATTCATTTTTTACAAAATTGATAAGATTTATTACAGAATATTTCGAGGTTCGTATGACCTCATCATGATGTTGAACGAACGTATACATTCACAATAACTGCAATATCACACAGTAACATAAGTACATTCTTAATATATATCAGAAACACCTTTTCATGTCTAACATTTGTTAAATGCCTGATTTAATCATTTTGTTTCTGTTTTAAGGCCTGAAACGTCACTTTTCATGCCTAATAGTGCCAATTTCATAATTTTGTTACGTAAATAATTTGGCCTATTTTAGGTGCCTAAATCATCATTTTTTCGTATCTAAAATTCCGAGGTTTGGATATAAGCAATTCTTCCTACCCTAAAAGTTTGTAATATATATTTCGACCACCACTTTACTTGATAACTTTTCGGTACAGCAGAGTACAGCAGAATAACAAAAGTAGTGCAACATTCGGGTCATTATGGTCAACGATTGCCCAACCCTGCTTTAGAATAATGACATGTAAAATAAGGATATATAAGAAACAAGTGAAAGATTTGACGGCGAATTTTAAAAATAACTTCTTAGCTATCCAGTTATGCTAATTACATGCTGTTTGGTGGAATCTTATAGTAACCTGCTACCGAAGAAAGTATGTATGAGTACGTTTGCATGTCCGAGAGAAAATTGTGTGAATAGTGCGGGGGAATGAATGTCATTCTTTCACAGTTTACTTTTGCTAGGGGTGACCCACCGTCTAGCCGTAAGACCTGGCGTTCCACTCTGGTGACGGGTATCGATCCCCGTTCAATCGAAGTGGAATTTCTGGTGGCTATAGCGGGTGTGCGGTAGGTTTTCTCGGAGTTCTCTCAATTTGCCTATATCACATTCCCCCGTCTTATCTATCGCTGTGCTATTAACTCGCCTCAACATCACCTATATGAATCCTTCGCCATCAATCATCACATGTACGTCTCAACTCAGACGACTTATTGGGGAGACCTGACTAGTATAGGTTGAGCTTTCTGGCTTCAGATTAACGGTCGACTCGCCCGAAAAAGAAAATTTTTACGAGGAGATAAATACGATAAATAAAAATGTACATTAGGTTGCACATCGAGGAAAAATATAGGTGAAACTGCCAGGTAAGTCTGCTAGGTTGTTAAAATCTAGTGTTTAACCTTGGAAAAAGGGCGTGGAAATGTATATCGATTACAACAATATTTTGTGATCTGACTGATAAATAATTAAATAAAATAAGGATTTTCAGAGTTATGATCGTCGGTGGTTCATGACCTTGCAGGCAATGGCTTCAGGAAAAACCAGCACCAGAATATTTGTAGAAATTTAAACTGGTTGTTAAATGACCCTAAATGGTTGATCCATGACACTAAACACATAAATTAATTTATGCACTACTTTCAATTTGTTAAAAAATTATAAAACGTTTGAAGACGTATACCTAATTATGAGTTTAAATATTAGTATACATTCTAATTTCTTATAGTGCTTTGTTAAAAAGTTATAAAATGTTTGAAGACGTAAGTCCAATTATAAGTTTAAATATTTGTATATATTCTAATTTCTTATAGTGCTTTGACGGCTGTTACACCAAAAGAACTATTTGACGCTCTGTCTAAGGCTGCTGGAAACGTAGGACTTCCCTCTAATGTGGAACTTACAGATATTTTCGAGTCATGGACAACTTCAACGGGTTTCCCTATCATCAACGTTTTACGCAAAGAATCAAAAGTCATTTTTACTCAGGTATGTTTTTAATATCGTCTCATTCAAAAAGAAAACTCAAGATGAGTAACAAGAGGGAATAGAAACGAAATGCATTTTATTATATCAAATAAGTGATATTAAAAAAATATTTATGCATAATATCAAAATTTTGATGGATTTAAATATAAAATTGTTAACCATTTCAGTACTTGCGGGATATACTTTGAGTTTTTTTGTGATAATTCCTATAATGTGCTTTTAAATTATTTGAGATTTGAAATTACAAAAATTACTTTTCTTTTCAGGAGAGATTTCTTCCTTATGGATCATCGTCAAAACATACCTACAACGTTCCTCTAAAATTAGTTTATAATGACACAAAACTCTCAGAAAAAAGCATCTGGTTTTTATCATCCCAGAAGGAAGTCAGCATAGAGATAGCGGACATTGGAAGCGAGAACGCAAGCTGGATATTGGTGCCGACGACTGGCTACTTCAGAGTAAACTACGACGAGGATAACTGGCTTCTGCTGTCGGAGTATTTACAAGATGAGAGTTTAGATGATATAGCCATAGAACCTCTAGAAAGGGCCATTCTAATAGATAATGCACTCAATCTTGCACGAATCAGCAAATTGGAATATTCAACAGCCATTCAATTGCTGAGTTATCTCAGTAACGAAGTCGACTATATCCCTTGGACCGTGGCATTTTCGGGACTTAACTATCTTCATCGCATGCTGGCTGACGAAAGTGATATTTTTGATGTAAGTGCAATTTTCTTTTCTATATTTGTATTATTTTTTGTGTTTTTTATTTGTAAAACTGAATATAATCGTTAAAATTTTGTTTATGTTCAGTGGATGTATGTACTCGTATTTACAAGTATTTAGCATTTTGGGTCGACAGTGCGAGTTTGCCAGCTTGGTAATGGTGTCCCCCGTGCCTGGGCCCCGAGCTTCGGGGGTAAGGGAGCCATTTGACGAACATGTATTCCCTCCACCGTCACTAGCAAATTCCTGAACTTTTTAAATATATGCACAAAAATAAACATTTATATTTCAGTCCCATATTACTACTAATATGACAATGAAACACAATATTAACATACTTTTTTCACTTCGGTAATTTTACAAGGACTTCAAATTTTAAAATGCCATTCTCCAAAAATACACATTTGGGGTTGTACACGAGTGATGCATAAAGAAAAGAGAGAACGCCAAAATATAACATACATTGAAACGTATTGGTATATTTATAACAAAGTGCCCATGACAGAGAAAGTACATTCAATTCTAACTGAATGTATCTAATCAGTTAAAAATGTACCAAAAAAGGAGTAACGATACATTCACTAGCAAGCCTGGGTTGGCAGATGAGCAGAAAGCGTTGAAGATAACTGGAATTTTTTAAATTATGTTCGGCGCCTAAGCAATACATTACTGTTAGGTTTACAATATTATCCTGAGAATATCTTCGGAACTCTTCAGTTTGGGTTTGGTGAAAGAGCATAAATCCTCAAAAATAATAACTATCAGGATAGTAACCGTCTATGGTAAACGTGTGTAATTAAATCTACCTCATAAAAAGCAAGGAGCACTTTATAATGAATATAATTTATATTAGTACTATGAAAATGGTTATAATCATACTCACAAAAATTGAATATAAACGATTTGAAATAACAACTCATGAAAAAAAATGGTAAGCACAGATACTTTAATGCGTACCTAATAACAATTATTTAAATTATCTGAAAATAAGTTATGGCATCAATTACAGAATTTTCGACATCCTATCATTAATATTGCTCATGAAGATTTAGGTTTTGAAGTTGTCAAAATCTGATGATGAATGGAAGAAGTTTGATGAGAATTTATTTAAATTTGTACAGTGACAAAAACACGACTACAAAGAATTAAGAATAAATGTCATTAATAAAACAAAATTATTTTGTACTTAATTTTTAAACGTTCACTAGAAATGTCTTGATCTACAAGTAATGATGATTGTTTAAATTATTTGAAAATACGTTATGATCCCCATTACAGAATTTCATACTCCATATAATTAAAAACGTCTATGAAGAACTAGGTTTTAAAGTCGTCGATAAAAATGATGACGCATCACATATCGAGCACGTCCATCGAGCGAACGTTCTGAACTGGGCTTGTCGAGCGGGGCATTCTGAATGTATCAACACGGCTGTGGATTACCTGAGAAAGTATCTGGAAAAACCTCAAAGTGATAGGTGAGTATGTTAATTAATGCAAGTACAGCGCACAATTATGCCAAGTATTTACAAAATGTAATCTTAGAGGAAATTATTTAAAATATTTTGACGTATCTTACATAAATAGAAAATAACCTTAATAAATAGAAACACTAAAGTAAATAACTTGAGACTGAGTAGTTGTTGAGGTTGTGTGAACCACGTAATCATATTCTAAGACGAAAAATTAGAATTGTAGAATAGCGAGGAAAATTATTATGTTTAAAAGGTTTTTCTTGAGTAGTGAAGATATTTTTGAATCATAATATCTTTCAGAAAGTGTTTAAGAAGTCTGATATTCCTGCCTATATGGATTATATGTCTGGATACTAGAGCCTCTTTACCAGCGGGTAAAATCTTACT